GATTATAATGACTTGTACTGTCTTTTTACGCGTTGCGTTGCATTGCGCTGCGTAAACATAAAACTCTGTCTGCATTTGTGATCAGAGAAATGACAAACAACAAGTGTTACTCTACTGCCCAAAACTCGCGTTTGAATCGTCAGTGGCAAATCATTTAAATGAAAACGTACTTACGTGAGTCAGAACTGCTTTGTAGTCTAACGTTACTCTCCCAGGATCAGTAAACAGTCCTCCATAAAATGCGCTGCACACATCTGGATATTTGGGTTAAACTGTTCTGGAACAGTGTTGTAAATACCACTGATTTGTAGTCGTGTCCTCTTTTGGAAGACCAAACAAAGTAGTTTCGCTTTCACAACGAAAAACACAGCATCCTAGCGTGAGGGGAAGCCCCGGCTTAACGTGCGCTGAGGTCGGGCTAGAGTGAGCTGAGGCGGCGGGGTCGACGAATGAGCGGCAACCACATGTGACGACCCCGGGCTGGACTCCGCTTCGTCCACGGTGAAAGTTGATGTATTCCCTCAGCGACCAGCACAGATCAGCTCTAGGCATGACGAAGCGGATATCGTCCTCTTTTGGAAGACCAAACAAAGTAATTTCGCTTTCACAACGAAGCACACAGCGCCTTCACGACATGGCGGCAACAACAATACTACAGCGAGAATAAAAGTTACGCCTTCTTTCTTTGCGTGAACATTTGGGCGGCGTTATGCAAATCTTCCCACATAGTGAGGTAGATATGTGGGGGCGTGTTAGAACGAGCCGTTTAAGGTAGGTGTGGCTGACTCTGAACTTTTATAAAGAATATCTCTTTGGATTTGAGACTTTAGTCTTTGCAACTTTACAGATCTTCTTTATGCACCAAGAGCTTGTAACAGTCCAAAGATAAAGGAAAAATTGAAATCGCATCATATGACCCCTTTAAGTAATTGTAAAGCAGCCTTCTGAAAAGCCCTCATGTAGAGTCAAACTCTCAGTAATACAGAGCACACATCTCCCTGGGACAAGTGTCCTGTCAGAGACTGGCAGGCACTCACAGAGACGATGTATTTTTTCTTGGCAGGCTGTGGTTGAGACATTAGGAACACTTTAGCACTGTAATCGCAGCTTTGAGTGGTATTTACTGCTATTAAAGCCCTGGTGCGTGCCAACCCACAGACCTTTCCAGTTGCCTTACTGAGCGAGAAAGATCCTTGTAACGATCGACTTCTGCTTGAGTGCTGCTTTCATCCACGGGTCATTCTGAGAGGAAAATCTGACGACTAGCAGATACAAGAAGATGGTCTGATCTTTAAAGGTCCCATATTGTCAAAACTGAAATTTCCTGGCTTTTTTCATGATAACTGAGGTCTAGGTGCTATGTAACTACCATATAAGTTTCAAAACAGTCAATCCACAGTCAAATGCACACAGTCTGCATAAAGTAGCTGTGATTTTTTCAAGTAAAAAGGTGACGTCAGAACTACACAGTCACCGCCTTCAGTCACCACCCCGAGCACTGCCCACAGTCCCACTCTCCTTTTGCCAAACCCCCAGACAACATCGCGTCCATGCCATTGCTGACCAATCTGGAATCATTTCCATTCATGTCACCCATCCGCATTTGTATAAGTGTCTTCAAGTTCACGTGATCGCAAACGCTCGGCTGCTCAGGTTTGTATTTACTGCATTCGGTGTTTGAAAAAAAAACATGAATTACCATTCTGAAACATCCTTTAGTAAGCGCGTTTGAGGAGGTGGTTGGTTGTCTCCTGTCGTCGCCGATTCGGGGTCTGAGTTCGGCTCAAACATGTAAGGCCGGACAACATTTCCCTCAGCAGTGACCATCATTACCGGTGTTTCTATTGACCTTACTTGTGAGTATCACCAATCCACAGCAGGCTACAGCATGACCCTAGTTGGCCTGGCCGTGCGTCACTCAGAAAACAACAGGCCAATCAGAAGATAGGCTCATGAATATTAATTAGATAGGCCAAAATCGACCTGTTCTTTGCTGAGCTCCTGAGAGAGGAGCTGTAAAAATATATTGAGATGGTTTTTGGTACTTATACCACAAATATATATTCTTAAGGACATCAAGACTTAAAATAAAACTCCAGAAAGGTGTAAAATATGTGACCTTTAAGGACTAATGTAAAGGTCTTGAACTTAAATTACCTGGGGGCCAAAACCCAGGTAGTGTAATCTTCACTGGGGCAA